TCTTCTGTGCAAACGAAAGCTGCCAGAATAGGCACAACATCGGTTTGTCGAAGGGACGTCCACCTTGACCCTGTAGCCAATCTGATGACTGATGATGACATGAGGGCGTTGTCTTCGTCTAGCTGTCAAGCTTTCACGCATGTGCCACTTGGAAGATTCCTCTTGCGACAGTCTGCCTTCCTCCAAGGTTTTCGTGCCCACACTCTCCGCACAGGAATGTGCATCATCAATCCTTTGAATGCATTGGTCAGACTTTTGCAGCCCAAATGTCCTAACTATAACCTATGATAATATTATCATTGTATGATATGAATACCCTCATACTAGGTTCTCTTCAACAAGTTGCCCAGTGCTTCACCCGGAAGGAACACCCTTGTCAAGAAGACGGTGGACAAAGCTGGCAAAAAGAGAGTCGAATCTTGTCTGCAAATATTACTTGGGTTCTGGGGTCCCTTGGTTTACTGGTGGCAAAGAATCTTATATATTTGCATGTTAACACATGACTAATGTGGGTTGATTGGACAATAAATTTGATAATAATATGGGTGGTTCACATCGAATCTCCAAATCTCAGGTGGGTATCAAAAAAGCTTTGGAGCAATCAGCGGTGTATCCTCGGGACTTTGCTTGGGCCATTGCTGGCCTGTTACCAGTGACTGGGAAGCGGCCGTCGAATGACGAAATCGATGTTTCATATCAAGGAACTGGTTCAGATTTAGGTGCCCTGGATGATTTGCTGAAAGGGCCTCGTAAAACTTGGTGGAGGCTAATTCAATAGTTCCGTACGGGGGATTGGTGTGGTGATTCACTGCGACAACTTCAAGTTCTACATGCTAGTCACCTATACAAAATGTGTTGCTTATATGAGGGAAACACCCATCTCCTGTATGTCAATATAGCCACCTTCTGAACTGAAATCTAATTAGTCTGCGCAGAGAGTGACGTTGAGAAAAATGTTTGGGGTTATGCCCCTCGGGTTTTCTGTGCGAATTTACAACGCTGCCAAAAGAACAAATTGTGTTGCAGTATTTAGGCTGGAAACAAATAAGGCGATCTACGGATAGATTTCGACCATGCCAGTTTGCCCCAAAATCTTGGAGCGATTATCTATCGCACGCCATGATCGAGCATGCCTGAGCTGTTGGCTGGGTGTTATTCAAACTTACCTTGTGGAGACCCTTGGCTACACATCCACTACCACGCTATTCCCAATTGCAATCCCAAATACATATCAAACCCTTTGACCTTTTGCCAAATCTATAATTCAGGACTGATGGAAAGCCTTATGGACCAGCCCAAGCAATCTCTCGTGATTGCAAATGTGAAGAGGTTTCAGTTCAGTCGATGCTAGCTGAAGAGAAGGCAGCCCAGAATAAAGCTGCTTCGATGGCCTAATTAGCTTTGGCTGGGTGTGGAACGGGGCCCAAAGATACATTGGTGGAGACCTTTATAATCCCTTAATATCTTTGGTTTCTGATAGATGTGTTTGATGAAAATTGGGCTAATTTAGAAATACCCCCCGGTGTCTCAGCCCTTCACCATTCACCAGCTCCAAAGTGGTCACGCGCCTGTTGTCCCGACACTGGGCCAGAACCTGCAAAGTTGTCGGAAAATAGGCCAATAGTGCGTGTCAAAGCGTGTCATTTGCGTGTCATTGGGTTGAGGGGTTGGCCCACCAATTGCAGTACATAGGTCCTATTGTATAAGCCAATTGTGAGCCGTTGGAAACGTGTCATTTGAAATCAGGGGTCCCCCTGCGTGTCATTTGCGTGTCGATTTTGCATACCTCAACTGGAGTTTCACACGCAACCATGGGGAATTTATTTCTGGCTCGGGTTCCAAGTCCTAGTGCAAAAGGCACGATACAAATAGGGTAGGTCCAATGGGTAAGAAAAACCCAACTGGTAGTTCTGAAGCTATCAGAATGGCAAAAGCCACGCCTTGTCCACCCAAAGCCCATCTAGAGTGGGAAGAGCAAAGGAGAAAACTCATCGAGGCTGTTGAGGAGGATAAACGTAGAGCTAAGAGACGGGAGGAGAAGGAGAAGGATGAGAAACTGAAAAAAACAGAGGCCAACCATGGTGAAGACAAGGAAAAGAGAAAGACTGGGGAGAAGGCAAAGGAGAAGCATGCAAAAGAGACCAAAACTCCAAAGAACACTGCAGCAGCCAGCAAGACGAAGGAAGATGAGAAGCCCAGGAAGAAGCAGAAGATGGCAGATGATGTTTCACAGCCAGAAGTGAAGCCATCGGGCCCTGCAGAAGCAAAGGAAGCAAAGGAGAAGAAAGATCAGGCCACAGGAGAAAAGAGAAAGACTGAGGAGAAAGCAAAGAAGAAGAAGGCAGGAGATGAAGAGAAAACGACTGAAGCTCAAGCGAGCGGTGCAGCAGCCAGCAAGACGAAGGAAGATGAGAAGTCCAAGAAGATAGAGAAAAAGGCAGATGAGGTTTCACAGCCAGAAGTGAAGCCATCGGGCTCTGCAGAAGCAAAGGAAGCAAAGGAGAAGAAAGATAAGGCCAAAGGAGAGAAGAAAAAGACTGAGGAGAAGGCAAAGAAGAAGGAGGCAGGAGATGAGAAGAAACAGACCGAAGCCCCAGCGAGCAGTGCAGCAGCCAGCAAGACCAAGGAAGATGAGAAGTCCAAAAAGATGGAGAAAAGGCCAGATGAAGTTTCACAGCCAGAAGTGAAGCCATCGGGCCCTGCAGAAGCAAAGGAAGCAAAGGAGAAGAAAGATAAGGCCACAGGAGAAAAGAGAAAGACTGAGGAGAAAGCAAAGAAGAAGAAGAAGAAGGCAGGAGATGAAGAGAAAAAGACTGAAGCTCGAGCGAGCGGTGTAGCAGCCAGCAAGACGAAGGAAGATGAGAAGTCCAAGAAGATAGAGAAAAAGGCAGATGAGGTTTCACAGCCAGAAGTGAAGCCATCGGGCTCTGCAGAAGCAAAGGAGATGAAAGATAAGGCCAAAGGAGAGAAGAAAAAAACTGAGGAGAAGGCAAAGAAGAAGGAGGCAGGAGATGAGAAGCAAAAGACCGAAGCTCCAGCGAGCAGTGCAGCAGCCAGCAAGACGAAGGAAGATGAGAAGCCCAGGAAGAAGCAGAAGATGGCAGATGATGTTTCACAGCCAGAAGTGAAGCCATCGGGCCCTGCAGAAGCAAAGGAAGCAAAGGAGAAGAAAGATAAGGCCAAAGGAGAAAAGAGAAAGACTGAGGAGAAGGCAAAGGAGAAGGAGGCAGGAGATGAGAAGACAAAGACCGAAGCTCCAGCGAGCAGTGCAGCAGCCAGCAAGACGAAGGAAGATGAGAAGACCAAGAAGAAACAGAAGATGGCAGATGATGTTTCACAGCCAGAAGTGAAGCCATCGGGCTCTGCAGAAGCAAAGGAAGCAAAGGAGAAGAAAGATAAGGCCACAGGAGAAAAGAGAAAGACTGAGGAGAGGCCAAAGGAGAAGAAGGCAGGAGATGAAGAGAAAAAGACCGAAGCTCCAGCGAGCAGTGCAGCAGCCAGCTAGACGAAGGAAGATGAGAAGCCCAAGAAGAAGCAGAAGATGGCAGATGAGGTTTCACAGCCAGAAGTAAAGCCATCGGGCTTGGAGAAGAAGGCAGGAGATGAGAAGAAAAAGACCGAAGCTCCAGTGCGCAGTGCAGCAGCCAGCAAGACGAAGGAAGATGAGAAGCCCAAGAAGAAACAGAAGATGGCAGATGAGGTTTCACAGCCAGAAGTGAAGCCATCGGGCTCTGCAGAAGCAAAGGAAGCAAAGGAGAAGAAAGATAAGGCCACAGGAGAGAAGAGAAAGACTGAGGAGAAAGCAAAGGAGAAGAAGGCAGGAGATGAAGAGAAAAAGACCGAAGCTCGAGCGAGCAGTGCAGCAGCCAGCAAGACGAAGGAAGATGAGACGCCGAAGAAGGAAAAGAAGACCAACAGCAAGGCGACAAGGAAAGAAGCAGAAGAGAGGCAGCAGGATGAGCAGGATCACACCGAGATGAGCCTTGTCCTGGCAGTGCCCAGACCGTTCGTTGCGACCAGTGCAGCCGGTGGAAGTGAAGGAGATAAACCCACTGAGAAGGAGCAACAGGATGGCAAGAGCAAACATATCAAACCAAAGAGAAAGGCAGAGACACATGAAGATGACAGGAATGCAAAAGCCATAAAGGATGGTAAAGACGATGGAAAAGCAAAGAAAAGTCTAAGTCAGGACAGAATCTTACCATGGGTTTGGGTTACAGGTGTGTACATTGGGATCTTTAACCTGTTCTACTTTGACATTTTGACTTTGGTGGTTCCTTCAAACCTTGACTTTAAGTATGTCATATACATTCATATTACATATTCCTCCAAAGGACTAGGACCAATAGATCTTGAACGAATCCCATCAAGTCTATCCCAACTACTTCTCTCCAGGAGATGTTGATCGAAAAGACATCGACTTTGGAAAGCCTCGATTTCGGAGGACTTCTGTCACCACCCTTTTCTCAGAAGAGCCGAGTCACTCGAGATTTGGACTCTGAATTCGATGAGGCAGCAGACCCTTAGATTACTTTTTCAAATTGTATGTATGTCATTCATAGCTGCATCAATTTTGGGGTGGTAAATGAAAAACACCTAGGTTGAATCCCAATCCACTTAGGACACTCCAGCCCAAACCCAGTCGACGCCGCCATCATCAACGAGGGTGGCCCGGAAGAAGGACTTAACCGAGGAGGAAAAGGGCAAAATAGCGTCCATGTCAAAGCCATCTGACATGCCCTATGAAGATCCTTAGCTAAAATATATAGTCTGGTGCTTATCCATGGGTAAAGCTGCCACCTCAGCCCCATGATGCCCAATGAACTACCTGAAAAATAGTTTGAATAAACCTCAATTAACATAATTCATCCTATGGGTAGCCTTCCCTAAGGAACGCAAAAGACAGTATGCAGCGATGCGCCGTGCTATCTACAAGGATGCCAAACCTGAACTTGTGGCAAAGTTCTCGTTGTGTTCGGACAAAGAACGGTTCCATGAGTGCAAGTATATGTCTTGATTCTTGACAATTAAACGGTATATCCATAAGATGTCAGATATCAATTTATCATGTGTGAGCTCAGGTTTCAGATGTTGAAATCATGGGTCCAAAACCAAGACCTGGGAGAGATCGAGATCGAAGAAAAGTATGTCTCCTGGGTGCGTTCCTTGCGCACAGACCGCTATGTGACAGCCATACCCCCAGTAGTGTTTTCCCGAGTTACTTTAAAAGTTTATGGTGGCTAGATATCATGACAGTAGGTGCAATACCCCCTCCATCCTCATGTTTTTTTTCCTGAGGTGACAGTTTTCCAGCTGGAGAAAATGTTCGAGAAGTCTCAGGAGGCCAAAGAATTCATAGCGGAGTTGTGCTGCGGACACTTGGATAAACCCAAAAGACCCTGTTGATTTGTATTGATTTGTGATGCCATATTTCATTGGCAATGTTTAGTAGCCGATCCAATTATTCCACCTTATAAGTCACGCTGAATCTTAGGTCAGCAAGGGGTGCCGCACCCACAGGCCTGGTGTGGCTTGTGCTTGATGTTGAGGCTTTCTCGGCTGCACTCTTTCGTTTGTTGCGGCCTTGGCAGGCCCCGTCGAGCAAGAAAGCCAGAATGTTCAAAGTCTTGCGGGAGGTAATGGAAGAAAACACAACTGGCTCTGACTATACCTCCTCAGTGACTCGCTTTGTTCCCTTTACCTTTTTATACATGCTGATATTGTTATGTTAGTGTTAGCTACCAAGGATGGTATTCAAGAACATAGTATTGAAATAGG